TACTCGATAGAACTCGTGCATATCGCCTGGGGTTATAAAATTGATTGCATTGAAAACTGCAAGTCGTAAATCAGTGTTTGTTAAGTCCCAAAACTTGTGTTTCAGCAAACACTTCATTTTACCAAAAACATATTCGGTTGGATTAAAATCAGGACTGTACGTGGGCATAAATACCAGTTCTATGTTTAGGTCCTCGAGAAATTCGCGCAGTACATGTTCTCCATCATTGTGATGAAAGGGACAGTTATCCATCACAATTGTGTTACCAGCCTCAAGGCATGGTCGACCGGTCGTCGGGTGAACAGAATTGTACGCTTCTTCAAAAAATCTCAAAAATTCGGTTGTGTTAGATGGACCGTCTACAATGTTCGTATATGTTATACCAAATAGTGAACACAAAACATTCAGTTGTGTTTGCCGTTTCACAGTATCTGATAATTTCTATTGCTCTTTCGCCCACTGGAGCATGGCCGTAAAATCTCGTGCCATTAATTTCTCTTGTCTTGGATGTGCGCGCGTTAATTAGAATCACTTCACCGCGTTTGAAATGACGTGGTTGATGTGCCGTTTAATTAAATTTCAAATGACGCGAGCCAACAGATCACGACACTGTACTTTTGTATATAAAAAGGGCGCGTGAATTGAACAAGTGACATATTATCACAGAATAGACACCAGACCAGAAGGGCCACTCCTATGTGTTTTGGCTTGGGAAAAACGTCCGAAATTTCTTTACGTGCTATGACGCTATCCTGGAGTGCACACGGCACTTTGTACCTATGTTTTCCTGTGAAAAACTTCCGTGTGCACTCCAGGATGGCGTCAAATGATGGCGTATTTTCACGTCAAAATATCGTCTGAGTGACACTTCTGGTCCAGTATCTATTCTGTGATATTATTAGCACTGATGAAGATCCGGGCTTACGGAACGAAAGCTTTGCAGTAATAAATTTACGTGGTGTATCCACAAACAAAACTATTAAAAATTCATATTACCGTAAAAATTTTCTAACAGCTGCAGTAATAATAGGTGTTGAATAAAAGCATGCAAGGCTGATACTACGATCTTGAGACACGATCACAGACTTGCAGTCACGAAGAAAATTTTGTTGTCTATAGTATGCAAAGTGCTTCATCACAACCAAAATGTTATTTAAAAACGACGTCATGATACCATGGCGACCATTGTACGCACCGTTTGCAAATTTAGAAATAGTTCATGTTGAGATAATGCTGGCTTTGGAATTATAGTTGTTTTCTCAGAAAGGGCAAGGGGTTGCTGCATGCGTATTTCTAGTATATACTGTATACTGTACCGGTTCAATGAGCTGGTCATCTGATTGAGACACTATATCAAAAGATATTAAAATATCTAGTTTACTATTTATATCTCAGTGGAACGTCGCAACGTGACCGTATACAAACGAACGTGTAGCTATATTACGGACTGATTACATGGCCATGGGATGGATCTCATGTTTTCAGCGTATCGCGTGTTTTTGGTTTAACCGAGCTAAAAATTGTTTCACAATTAAATGTTTCAGCACTGGCTGAGTTAAAATTTCAGCTGGAACAAGGATGAAATTAATGACTCCTTAATTAAACAACCTATGGAAGTTTTGAGTTTGCAACAACCTGCATGCCCGTCACACTGTATAATCAAGTCCATGTAAAAACGTACACCAAATACACTTGCATAAAAGTACCTCCTGTATCTGAATATGGTTCACTTGATGGTACACTATGGCTCACAGGAAAATTCTCATGATTCTGGAAAGTCAAAATTAATTAACTTATGTTAGAAAAGACCACAGTTTAATATTTTACCGCAAAAACAACACTCGATCATTAAATATAACGTAATCAATAATCAAATAATATGTATAGTAGGCTGGCCATACACATGTAATTATGTATATAGTGAATATACAAAATATGTAATTGACTTCCGAGTCTTATTTGCGTCAAAACCTGAGCAATTATGCAGTCTTATGCAACCTCAAAAAACTATGCAACCTTTCATGTTCATTGTTAGTTTCAATTTTATTTCATTGTGATTTTTAATCTTAGTCTGGAGACGAATGGTCAAGCTTGATGTTATGATATATGCTTAATGCCATTAGTTTGGCGAGTTAATTAATATTCACGTTATTATCATTCAGATATACTAGATAGATTTAGAAAACACGACGCGACGTCTAAGACGACGTGAAAATGACGTATGCACCTCGGGTTCACTTCCGGCACAAGAATAAGAAGGTACAGCAGAAGTGTAACTCGAGTCGGTCTCCTTGTTTTACGTCCACGAAAATTTTAACTCGCTCACGCCATCCTGGCTAGTACAACGGGAAGTTTTTATCAGGCTTTGGTAGGTACAAAGTGCCGGTTGTACTAGCCAGGATGGCGTGATTGATGACGAATCGCTTGTAAAAACGCGGACAAATACTTGCTTGAGTTACACTTCTGCTGTACCTTCTTATTCTGTGCTTCCGGGTTTTAATCTGGGACGGCTTATTTGTCTTTTCCGAACCAAATTTTTGTTTTCTTGTTACCTGTTCATTCCTGTATTGTTTTCAATCAGTTGTCAAGATATGTGCAAGAAAAGGCTATGTAATACTGGCCAAGTGTTTCCTGATGAATTAGTATGAACATTCAATAAGTCTTTTTTAGAAAAAGACGTATATTTCGGTATTTTGAAAAGTGAACTTTGTTGCATCATTTGGAATAAATACAATAGCTGCAGGTATTGTTTACGAGCTAAATGCTTTATTGGTAGCCTATTCAATCAAGTTTATAGGAAAGCGGGTTTTTTTGCTTGTCCTACTTTTTGCACTGTTGTGACAGAGCAACTAAAATTGATTGAGTTTTTACTGCTTTTAAGTGCTTTTATTCTTCTATTTTCCCAAGTTTTCCTGATTTTAAACAGTTGGTTAATATAACTTCAGTTTAGTTTGTTCTAAAATGTTTGTTTTGGTGAAGATTACTAGCGGTACTGAAGTGGTTATTAACAATGCTTGCAGTTTTGTTGATTTGTTATGGCGATGGAAACTATTTGTCGAAAATCAACACGTCCAAATTTTAGCGAAATACAAGAAAAACTGACCTTGTCAATGGAAAAACTTTAGCTAGTATCATTAAACAATACATAGGGAGCAAAATAGGATGATTTTTATTATGCATAGTCTCATATTTTTTTCAAAAGAAGCAAAAATCTGTGACGTTCTAGAGAGGACGTGAAAATTGTATTTTCGCGTCGTGAAATCGTCCAAGACGACGTCGCAAACCAGAAGCTGACGATAGTTGGCGCCAAATGACGACATCCACGTCGTCTTTGAGGTCGCGTCGTCTTTTCTAAATCTGTCTAACGTGCAATGCCTAATGGGTGGATTAAACATAGTACTAATACAAAATCCGCCTCATCCCGTGAAAATGAGCATTAAATTGTCCATGCTAGACAAAGGCGTTCTGTTTGTTTGTTTGTTTATCTATTTACTTATTTCTTTACTTGTTTATTTATTTGTTTATTTATTTGTTTGCTTATTTGTTTGTTTGTTTGTTTGTTTGTTTGTTTGTTTCGATATATTTGTTTATTTATATTTAGTTATTTATTTATATTATAACCATCATGTTAACAGGAATGTCCATTCAGTTTTTAACAGGAATGTCCATTCAGTTTTAAATGCAATAATGCAATATTGAGTCCCGTTTCGTATTGCAGACAGTGCAAAATTACATAACTTTCATATAGGAAAGCAAGTGTTTGTATTCCGAGAAACACGTCATGACCATGACGCATGAGTATGGAACAAGCAATGGACTTAGAGTATACTTATTAAATGCTACGTTGGAAGTCCGATCATCCTCTTCTTGAATAAATTACTTTGACATGCTGCAGTGACATTAATAACATTGGTATATTGGGCTTAATAGAACGCATCCCTGTATAGAATGGACATTTAATAACTCTCATTTTTAGCATGGCACAATGGGCACTGATAAAGTAGTTAGGGTGCATTGTGTACCTCATTAACAGTTGCATCATCAGACTTGGAAACCCCTACACAATTAAATGATATTACAAGTATCAGTAAAGAATATACAATTTGGTGTGCGACCTATCTTGCGTGGCAGGCTCAAAGTAACCCCAGACAAAAACCATTGTGACGCTGCCCACATATTACTTGTAAGTCCTGTCCCCCCTCCCTCAATGTTGATAAAAATGTTATAGTGAAAACCTTGGTATAGTGAGAACCTCATGAGGTACCAACATTGAATAGGGTTAGCAGGGAAAAACCCCAGGTGGCACAACATTATTGTCGAAGATTGAGCCCCAGACAAAAATCGTTGTGAAACTGCCCATGTTACTTGTAGGTCCTGTAGGACACAAAAATTCTTTCTAATGCCAGATGATTTTTCTCGTCAAGAGGAGAGCACTACAGGCACTCAGTGGGTAAAGCATTCCTCTATCCTTTAACTATACACATGGGAAGTCTGACGAGTAAAATCACCTGGCATTAGACAAAGTAATATAGAATGGCGTTAGACAGAGTAAAATAGTAATTTTTTGTGAAATCTTATGATAGGAACTTAACACAGTTTTGGGCATGCAGTAATGACCGTGACTGGTTTTAATACATCAGAATTATCCCTGATAGCAAAGTGGGTCTTTGTAAAACAGCACCAAGTATAAACTTGCATAAAATTACCTAGTCCTGTATCTGAAGATGCTTCGCCATGATTCGCACAAAAATTCTTATGTCTCTGGAAAGTTAAAAATAAACTAACATTAGAAAACAAGAATCATGTGTAAATTATTACAAGATTCAAAACAGGTATCTTTCTTATGTAATAATCTTTAAGTAAATGTTCGTATATTACCATGCGAGAATTTCTTTTAATTGAATAACTTCTTGTAAGTAAATGCCACAATTCACTACTGTTCACTTCATACTCGAGATATTCTTTGCCATATCTTTTTCCACGACCAACACTCTCTAGTGACTTGTTTTTTTCGAATAACACCAACATTTTTAAAAAGTTGTCCAAACCGCTGTTCAATTCTTTCTTTTCTTCTTTATATATGTATTCACGGCAAAGGGAGCTAATTTCGTCAATACCATCAAAACGTAGAAAGGAACGGTCCTCTTTTAATTTAACCAAATATTTAGCACGAGCATGCTTTGCAAGATAACCACAAACAAATTCACGAAACAACTCTTTCAACTTTTCTTTCGGACATGACTCTATAAAATGGGGGGAAAAAAAAACAAAAAAAAACGAGTTGATAAATACAGAATTAGTAGGCCTAATTAATAATAACAGCGGAATTGCGCCGAATTTGCCTCTCAAATAAAATAAAGTCAAACTTTCATCCATTTGTTGTTTAGATTTTTCAGTTGGAATTAGACATCAATTCGTTAACTTGAATAGCATAAATATTTTTCAAAAGACAAAGAAATAATTGTGTTGACTGAAAATTGACACTTTCCAAATTTTTTGGCTGACAATGAAAACTGCTTATTTTTTAAGCTATTGTTTCGTGTGCACCCAAGCAAGTGCGTGCATGCATGCCATAACCTGCAGCAGACTTGTGCCAATGCTGTTCCAACAACTTGTCACCAGGATGTGTTCGCACTGCTTGTTCCAAACTTGCTAGGAGGTTGTTGAGCTCAACAGACTTGTTACAAGTTGTTCCAATTACAACTTGAGATCGTCCTGCAATTCAACAACTTGTGACAACTTCACAACCCATTTTAATTGGGGGGGGGGGGGTAAAGCACCGCTTATACAATGCAAAATTTTGGTAAGGCACGGCCTTTGTAAATGGGTAGTCCGAGCACGAATACAAATGGTACGGGTGCCGAAAATTGAGGGTGGCCCATATTTTGAAAAATTTAAAATAAATATTTCGACTTGCCGTATACAAACGAAACTCTCCACATAAAAGCGCTTTAATACAAGCTATATTTTCGCTCTAAGGATGCATTAGAAATGGTCAATTGTTTCCGATGTATTTAATTAAAGAATTCTTTCAAATGAAATAACAGAAAATTTGGCAAAGGGTGAGTAAATGTTCGACATTTTGGTTTGCGTAATGTTTTGACGGCATTAAGACCCCCGTTGAAAAAATCATTTTGTGAGGATTTCAACGGAGTGTCTACCCTGGTTCCAGAGGTTTATTTTTCCTCTCCCCATCGCAATGAAAATAATAAAAACAAGACGCCGACTCGGCGTTAACCTCGGGTCGGTGGATAGGGGATCGTCTGGCAAATATCCAAAAATTGTGTAAATCACGATAGTTTAATAGTTCACTGGTATAAATGGTGAATCAGTTAACTCTTTTGCAGCAGGTCCATTACGCGTAGAACGTGCACGTTCTACGGATGTTTCGTTTATATCTTCGGTTCAGTACACGCTATGTCGATGAAAATACCGCCATTCGATTCAGTATAAAAATATATACTAATTTATAACGACAGTTTTAGTGACTGGCTACATTGTAGCGATTTATAAGCTTTGAAAGTCAAACGGGCTTAAATATGATCAAATTACGCAATATTACTAACAAATTATAAACATAGACATACCTTTCGCCGAACATAACTTCGGCCCCTTGAGACGTATGCTCATTCTTGTATTCTTGGTCAATGAAGCAGTTAAAAATAACACGTATAGTGTTATTTTCAAGCTTCTATCGTTAAAACGTGAGTTTTCTTGCCGAATTTTGCATTTCTGCCCGAATTTGCGTTAATCCCAAACCGGAAATACGACGAAAAACCGTCAAAACAATGCGTAGTTTGTATCGCGTGACTCTAGAAATGCCAGAAATGGCTTCTACAGGTCAAAGTGCACCCATACGCGTGAGTTTGACGTCATCCCGGCTAAAGGGAGCTCCTTATTGGCCAAGTATTACGTAATACAAGTGCGTGCGAGTAAAACCCGATACCTTGAAAAATTCAAAATAAATATTTCTACTCGCCGTATTCACACGAAACTTTCTACACTAAAGCGCTTGAATACAAAGAGTATTTTGCACATATATCCTTTCAGAAAATGACGCCAAATTTTAGAATATATTCAACTTTTTCTCTTTTTCCCGTTTGAATGTTTGGCGAAGCTGTGAGTATAAATATATGATTGTTTTGGTTTGTGTAATGTTTTGACGGCACTTGACCCCCCGTTCGAAAGGTTATATTGTGAGGATTTCAATGGTGGCATTTATTTCAAAGGGGGGTAAATACTCGCCGAGATATTTATATTAGAAAAATTGAATCGAAATGTAATACGAAACCGGTTGTCGAGAAAGAGTTCAAAGCTCCGTTTTAATATTTTATTGATAAAAATTACTGGCCCTCATCAAACCTATTGTTTTCTCTCTGCATTATATCAGCGAATGTCGAGAAGTTTTCATTTAACGTTCTACTGAAAAACGGGAGCGGCCTTTTTGGTTGTATAGGGAAATTCCGGCTCAGGGGTAAATGTTTATACGCGTCATATTCTATGTACGCGTTAAAACAGCACACAATATTATTAAAAATAATGCAGCGTGCATCAGTGCACACAGACATTATTAGCAATAATGCATCTTCGTCACCCTGACATGTACACGCGATAACGTGAATTTTCCCAAGATGAGAAGGTGACAGTGCTAAAAGCCCCACATACGGTGTCGTCGGGTGCCTGAAGCACTGTTGGAAACGGTCGCTGTGAGTCTTTTCAGTTCAATTTTATAGAGAAATAGTTTCGTTTGCGCTTGTGGGATTTTATCCTAGATACGCATGTGCAGAATACACTATAAGTTCTATTCCCGTGTTTATCCAATACGCTATTTGATTAAACCTTATCATTAATGATAATATGTAAACTAGAACACTATAATTGACCTCCGCTTGTGGAGATTTTAATTTAGGGCGATTAATTAAACTGAAATCTGTTCTATCACAATGCAATGGTTATGTCTATATGCATGTCCTCACAAATGTCTAGTGTAACGTTGGATAGGTTCATTGTCATACGGTCCCGACAAGCAGCATCGTACAGTAGTCTTCCACTTTCCAGCCGAAAATAATTACTTTTGATTCGGGTCAGTAATTATAATAGATAACAAGTGATAGTTGGCCGCGGTATTCCCATGCTATGCTTACGAAGTATTGTGCATTATATCAACATATACTCGAGAATAGTTATCCAGCTAAACATGTATGTCAAAATTATCACATCTTCTGGTTTATCAAATTATCACATCTTCGGATTTTGTGCAAGGACAGCTTCGGGTTGCGTTTCGCTTTGGCCGATGCTTGAAATTTTCCGGAAGAACACTTATTTACCGGAAGTTGTCGTCTCCTCCGCAGGCTGTTCGACTACGCGCGCGGCTCGACACAAATGGGAAAAAAAAAGAAAAAAAGATAGGAGCCGAATTTATGACCTCGGTGTCGTACCGACCCGAGGTAATAAACCTCTGGAACCAGGGTACGGAGTATCTCGTTTTGAATGGGGTTAATTTTGCTGAGATATTTACATTATATAAACATTTTCATCATGAATCGTAAGATATCAACTGGTCGACAAATTAAGCGTTAACAATAACTTTTTGGGGTTTCCGCGGCTCTCTCTCTAAAGATTCCTAGAAAAATTACTTTTTCCAGATATTTTAGCACTGGTAAGCCTTCTTCGTGGCCAACCAATCCTTAGAAGTATGTGTTTTTCCTTTTTCAGTAAACGGTCAAGTAATTTCATCAGATATATTATTATATGTTAAAATTGTCTTACTCTAATTAAACCCGGTGAATGTAAAAAGCGAAATGGCCGTGCGGGATGGCTGCGAATGCAAATTCCGCAACATTTTTTCGTGACAATTTAAGTTCCTTAATTGACATTTCGCAGCCGTTCGCGATCGTGTTTATCAAATTGCGAAAGTGTAAGTTTGTAACAATAATAATAATAATAATAATAATAATTTATTAATTTGTACCGCGCTAAAACTATAGAATATTCTAAAGCGCTTAATTACATAAAATAGGAAGCTAATTTAAAAATTTCCCTACGTTATTTACACAACATTTAACTACTATAAGCATCTATTTAAAAATATTTAAAAACAAGAAGTATTATTAATGTACGCATCTCTATACAAA